ACACCGCAATAAACACCCACAGAACACCCTGGATCTAAACAGCATTATTAACAAATACAAAACGTTCCTATATACATTAAACCGTAAACAATATCCCTCAAACGTGCAAAAAAAAAAAACACCAGTCAGGTCAGAAGAGGCGGTGATCAAGGTGAGTAAACAGGTAAAAAAATACAGGTGGTAATACTTTATAACCTGGTGTGTGGGTAGTGACGGTCTGGCCATCAGGCTCATCATTTGAGGGGGGGAGGAAGGGGAGAAAGGCTGAGGAGGGAGAGAGGAGAGGGAGGAGGGGAATAGGGGAGGGGAGGGAAGGGGGAGGGGAAGGAGGGGAGGAGGAGGGGAAAGGGGGAGGAGGAGAAACGAGGATAGGAAGAGGAAGGGGGAACAGAGAATGAAAGGGAGGGAGGGAGAGGAGGAGGGGAATGAGGGAAGAGGGAGGAGGAGGAAGGGTGTAGATGAAGGAGGAAAGGGGTAGGAGAAGAAAGGAAGGGATATCTAATCATCAATTAAGATAAACTAAGGTGTCTAATTTTCAGGTGATTCGATTAATTAACACCATAATTAATCCTCAACAAATCTCAATGAAAACCTGACTCCATAGATGTCATCCTCGCCTCTCCAATTACCTGTCAGGTGCAGGATGCTGGAGGACACAACCATTTATCTTAGTTAAGGAGGAGAGGATGATCTTATCTGTCGCAACTGGAGGCTGGTCGTCAGGTGATGTGTGGGTCAGGTGACGTGAGGTAACAACACCACAACAACAACCTGCAATAACTCTCTGGCAACCACACACACACACACACATTCCCTGGGTCACGGTGGTAGTGAAAGTGTGTGTGTGTGTGTGTGTGTGTGTGTGTGTGTGTGTGTGTGTGTGTGTGTGTGTGTTAAGTTACGTTAAATTAAGTTATAATAGGTTAAGTTAAACTCAAGAGGCGTTATGTAAAGTTTGATACGCTAAAGTTAATTTATACTTAATTAAATTTACCTCAGTTTAGGCTAAGTTATGGTAGGTAAAAATATGATAAATTATTTTATACTACACCATGTTAAAAAAATACAACCATAAGATAAGTTACCTTAGGTTAAAATAGGTAAAGTTAAAATTTCGATAAATCCTGTTAAGTTACGTAATGTTAAAATGTGTTTAGATATACTTAATTACCATATGTTGAGATTAAACTATTTTACGACAGGTTTGGTTAGGTTAAGAGGAATTCTGCAGCGGGAGCAAAGAGTGTAGGAGGCAGCCCACCGCCCTGCATCACCCCGCTGTTTTGACGCGGCCACAGAGCAAGGTGTACCCCCACGCTGCTTGAAGGTGACCACTGGTGCGGAACACCCACACTTACCACCTCAACCCTCTCACCACCACCACTACTACCAGTCAACCACCCAGCACTTCTTACCTTACTCGTTTGCCGCCACCACCATCACTACTACCCAATAACTGCAAACACCACCCCCACCCACCCAGCACCACCACTCCCCGCCCAGCATCTCTCTCCTTGTGGTTTAAAAGTCTATTGTTGCTTTTATAGAGAGAGAGAGAGAGAGAGAGAGAGAGAGAGAGAGACTCATAAATACTAAAAAAATATAAAAAGTAACTAATAATAATAATAATAAGACAAACTTAACATCATCCCCCAAATAGTGTTAAGGTGGTTAATATTCTGGTGAAATAAGCTGGGGTGGTTAATCTTCAGGTGAAATAAGGTTAATCTTCAGGTGATGCTATTTTTGTACCTGTAATTAATGTTCACACACCTGTTCCCGCTCAGTGTTCGCCCTCGACAACATATAACACTTCTCGATGAACCAAACTTTTACTCCATAAAAAAAACTTACGACCAAAAACTTTAAAATGTTTTGTGAATTTTCTTTGTACATGTAAAAAATCTTGCCTTAGAATTTATAAGTTTTAGGAAATTTTTTTAGGAACTAATATCAAATTTTTTTCTGAATATATTTAAAACAACATTTCAGTCAATTTTGGGAATGGATTAAACTAAATTTTCTTTAATATCTACAAAAATAGTCAGACCATTAACTCAGAATACTTCAATAAATAAAAGTATAATGTTAGGTATTTAACTTAAGTAAAGTGTAAAGTCATATTTCTAAATTACACCAAAAATAATATCGACAAATAAAAGAAAAATAAATATCACAACCATAAACAATAAAACATTATGGAGTATATAAAAAATTCCTTTATAACTTCTATTGTAAGTTAAACCACATTTTACCTTGATACACAAAATTACAATAGCCATAAACCCAAGATTGCTTTTAGTATATATATTTCTACGACAATATTTAGCTTAACAATACACTACGAATATTATCCTACTTAGTGGAGTCTCCTTATGTGAATTATCAAGAGACTGAGGAAAAATATAGTTGTTGTTTATAATGATTAACTTTTTCACAGTAGTTGATTTTTGCGAATTAGAAATATGAGTGTTTTTATTTTACTCTGGGGGTGGGGAGGGAGGGGGGGGGAGTGGGAGGGGCGGAGGAGGAGAAAGAGCTAAGGAAGATAAATGGGGAGTGTAGGAAGGGAAGGAGGGGAGGAAGAAGGGGAGAGAGCTGCTAAAGGGGAGAAGCGGAGACTGACAGTGGACAATAAGCTTTTAACGGGCCCCAACGTGGTCAACTGGACCCCGCCCTAACAGGTCCCAACAGGACTTAACCAAGAGAATGAATCACAACCAATTCTAATGGGTAACCAATTCTAATGGGCCCTATGTTTTAGATTCAATGGCCTTCACCTCCCACGAACCCACACACTAATGGGGATCAGTCCCAATAAGCAATAATGGTCGAGGTGGGGTTGGGGCCTAATAGGACTGGGGGCCCATTTGACCTGAAGAGCCAATCTGATGACCTGACGACGAGTGACCACAAACAACAACAACAACTGACAGCCAACAATAGAACGTTATTAAAGGTGGCCACCCCAGTGTCAGGCCACCAGTTGCTAGGGCCGAGTCTCCATGAAGGTCGACCCAGGCTGGACCAGGGTCAGGGTACTCAAGCATTCTTACGTCAATGGCTCAGAATCACCAAAAAGGTTATTGATACAGTTTATTTAGACATAAAAATACAGATATAAGGTCGAATTTTGAAGGCGGTGTAGTCGTCAATAATTACCTATTTATCTTCAATACGGAGTGAGGAGAATGTATCTAGTTATGGTTAAGTTCACTAAAAATTCAACTCAATTCTGACTTTCATCTCTGTACCGTAACTTAAAGCGGTACACTAGAGGGAGAACCTATGAGATACCGTAACCCACTAAGAATCTATCACAGTAACTCAATTATATACGTTCTCTTATATCCAGTTAGTTGGATAAATTGAATCTACGAACCTTTGAGAAAATTCATCTCTGTGGCGAAGCTTAAGTTGAGGTAATGTGACACTTTCTGACATACGAGGAAAGATTTAGCTCAAGAGTCTCAGAAACCACTTAAGTGAGTCGGTTGAATGTAGTAAGATATTAAGAGTTATATTATCTCATATGTTATGTTGGATTAGGTTATCTTAGATTAGGTTTGGTTAGATTGGGTCAGGTTGGATTAGATTAGATCAAACTAAATTAGATTAGGCTAGGGTAGGTTACGTTTGATTAGGTGGGATTAGGTTATGTTCGATTAGATTTTACATGACGATAACTAAAACAGAATGTCTGATTTAATAACCAGTTCACGGTAAAATATCCACAGTCTTCCTCTATATAATCAACACAAGTTACAGGCGAGGAACTCAACACTCACACAACATTGACTGAAAAGATGAAATAATATACCGTAAATAAAAAGAATTTTTCCGTTTTACATGTGCGGTAAATGGAGTCACTGGTCTGACCAATCACACACACACTCTGAATAAGCCATTCAGATCACAGACAAGGAACCAGCCATTCAGATCGCAGACAAGGAACCAGCCACTCAGATCGCAGACAAGGAACCAGCCACTCAGATCACAGACAAGGAGCCAGCCACTCAGATCACAGACAAGGAGCCAGCCACTCAGATCACATACAAGGAGCCAGCCACTCAGATCACATACAAGGAGCCAGCCACTCAGATCACAGACAAGGAACCAGCCACTCAGATCACAGACAAGGAGCCAGCCACTCAGATCACATACAAGGAGCCAGCCACTCGGATCACACAAGCCTAAAAACCTGGAGCAGGTAAAACTCTGTACATCTTTGAGTCCAAATTTGACTACTCACCTTACCCACCTAACCTAATCTAATCTAACCTAACCTAACCTAACCTAACCTAACCTTACCCACCTAACCTAACCTCACCTCATCCCACTTCACCATACTGACCTAACTTATGGCGCAGGATTCATCACTACACAACATGAGCCAACTGTGCGATATATATTCAGACTTGTACACAAACCTGAAGGATGTTTCACACTTTGGTCAGCACACAGGTGTACTGGTGAGCGACTGGGTGTAGCTGACCACCATACGGGCAGTTTATGTGCAGTACTAGTACACACACATGACACACTACATAATTATGATATAGACTCCTATGTGTACAAGCTCTCAGCTAGAGGGACTCATGTGCTAAACTGTTCGGTGTACAACAACATGTACTGTAAGGTTTGGGAGGAGGAGGAGGAGGCAGAGATGTGAGAGAGAGGTGGTGTGGGTCTGTCTGGCCAGCCCCCGGGTGTTGGGGCACCACACAGCCTCACTCCCTTCCCCACACTCATACCTCCCTCCCTCCTCCACACCATACAGGCCCCGACGTGGGCACACACGGGCCCTAAAACACCGTCAGCACGGGGAACCAAGAGCGCCTGGCGATCCCGTATTACCACAAATGGCGTGGTTAATGTTAGGTCCGCCAGGTGATGAACGTCTGCCGGTCTGCAGTGATGTTGTTTTATGACGCGACTGATGGACGCCATAAGCTGCCGGGGAAACTGTCATACACTACAGGTACACTGGCACCGGGTACTTACCTTCTGGAGCCGAAGAAAGGCCATGGGCTGTCGTGGGGCAGTCTGAGGGGCGAGCCTGGCACAGGGGCAGGGGCTGGGAACCCAGGGGGTGGCCCTGGGGGTGGGGGAGGGGGCACGTGCAGGGGCATTGGAGGTGGTGGGGGTGGTCCAGCTGGCCCCGGGGGCGGTGGCCCCATCAGCCCCCCTAGCGAGCGTCCCCCTCCAGGCAGCGTGGAGTACGGGGGCGGCACGTGGGAGTGAAGCAGGTCAGGCAGGTGGGCGTCGTGGGCTAGGGTAGGCGGTGGGTTGGTGTCTGCCAGGTCGGTCAGGCCTGGCTGGCCCAGGGCTGCCCCGGACCGATGGGCGCGCCGCTCCCGCCGCTCCCGGCGACGTTCACGACGGCGTTCCCTCTCCCCACGTCGGGCCTCTTGTTGTTGTTGTTGATGCTGGTGTTGCTGCTGCAGCTCCTGCCCCGGTGTCTGCTGCGGCGGCGGCTGTTGCATGTGCAGCAGTGGAAGTTGGTGCTGGAGCGGCCGCTGTTGTGATGACTGCGGGTCCCCCGCCACCTGCGGCGGGTGATGAACTAGTGGCTCTACCTGACTGCTGGGTCTAGAAGAGTTGGGTCTGGGAGGCCTGGGGGCTGGCCTGGGGGCTGGTCTGGGGGCCGGGTTGCTGGGTCTGGCCTGGTGAGTGGGCGTATCGTGACCACTGACACTGGGTGTTGGCGTGGTCGTGGGCGTAGGTACAATCCTGACACTGGACACTTTGGTTAGTGCACTGACGGCGGGGGCCGCCGTGGTGGTGCTGCTGGCAGTCCCGCACAACACTACACTGGACACACTGACGGGGGCACCACTCAGCAGTGGCACTCTAGACACTCGGGCACTGGACGCCATCCTCGTCGGCGCCACAACGGAAACACTACTGGCAGCGGAGGGCCGCGTGGCTCCCCCTGCCTCCACCATGGTTTCTCCCACACTGTCGCCCGCACTGACCGCAGGCCCGCACACCCACCCAGACACCGTTTTCTGTATGGGGCTCGTTTTCTGTGGGGGAGTGCCGCAGGGCGAGGCGTCAGCACCCACTACGTTAAACTCTACCTTCACCGTCTCACTTGTTCCTTCTTCATCTGGTGACTCTGCCTCATCTCTCTCGTCACCTTCCCTCCACTCCTCGTTGACCACGACCCTCGCCTCGTCCCCACTAGATAGGTCAGACGTCTGGTCCCTGGCGTCGTGGGGTACCTGAATGACCCTTACACTACCCATGTGATGTCTCCACGACCCTGTCTTGTTCTCCTCCTCCTGCTGCTGGGGGAGGCTGGAGCGGCGGGCGTGGGTGTTGAGGATGGGCGTGGGTGGCAGAGACTTGGGCTGCCTGTTGAGGGAGGACAGGACATGTTGCTCGGGCGGGAGAGTCCTCACGTGGACACTCACTAAAGGACGTCGACTGCCGGGTCTCGCTGCCTCCCCGAGAGACTCCAAGTCGAAACCCACGTTATCGAAGCCGCCCGAGTGGCGTTTAGGGGCGGGGGAGGGAGGCAGGTTCCGGAGGAGGAGGGAGGCGTCCAGAGAGTGAGGACCTCCTCCAGGGGGGTCGAGCAGCCCCACGCGGGAGATCCTTCGGGGGTCGGCCATGTCGGTCATCCCGTCCGTCCTCACGTCCATGTCCTCACACCATGATCACGTCTACCACCGAGGCTCCCCGGCCGCCCATCACACCTGTACGCCGCCCACCACACACCTGTAAACAACACGTGACATTAGTTCAGTGTAGAAGCTGTCAACCACACACAATTAAGTATGAAACAAACATAATCTATAACTACCTTAATTATATCGACATAGATCATACAATTATAATCAAATATCGGACTTAAGAATATTTCGAACAGTAACAAACGAACAAACAAACAACACAAACACAATAACAAACAATACCTAACAGTAAACACACAATGAAACAATACCTTCAGAAAATAAGTTAACAGAAAGCTATACATCTAAAGTTATAACTACAGTCTTAAGCTGATATAATAAAAATACCGTACAGATGAAAAAAAAAGTTCCTTGACACTCTTATTCGTCCCTAACCCAAGTGAGACACCAATGACTATTTGACCCTGGTACTGTGGACAGGAGTAGTGTTGTTATGTACTGTGAACAAGTCAATATCTCTCCCTCCCTCCTCCTCACCTACACAAAAGCTCGCCCTTCACCTACTCCCTCCCCCCTACCCTCGAGGTCGACCTTCACGCAAGAGATACTCCTGGAAAATAGAAAATTACGAAACTCATCACAGAGAAAGACAGGGATATAAAAGAATAGAGAAGCCTTGATCACATGACCGGATACATCTACCAGCCGAATACCACCAGCCGGATACCACCAGCCGGATACTACGACCACCACAGGCAGGACCGGGCGGAAACACAGCCAGGAAGAACCATCTACTGAATGTCTTCGTTAGTAGCTGGATGACCTCTCTCTCTCTCCTGACGATTGTTCTGTGGGAGGGAAGGTAGTAGGGTGGTGGTGATGGTGGTAGTGGTGGTAGTAAGGTGATGGTAGCGTGGTGGTGGTGATGGTAGCGTGGTGGTGATGGTGGTAGTGTGGTGGTGGTGGTGATGGTGGTAGTGGTGGTAGTAAGGGTGGTGGTGATGGGTAGCGTGGTGGGTGAGATGGTGGTGGTGGTGGTAGTGGTGGTGGACAGGTAGTGGTGGTAGTAAGGTGGTGGTGATGGTAGCGGGTAGGATGGTGTGGTGGAGGGTGGTGGTGGTGGTGGTGGTAGTGTGGTGGTGGTAGCGTGCAGGTGATGGTAGTGGTGGTAGTAAGGTGGTGGTGATGGTAGAAGTGTGGGTGGTGATGGTGGTAGTGTGGTGGTGGGTGATGGTAGTGTGGTGGTGGTGATTGTGGTAGTGGTGGCGGTGGTAGCGTGGAGGTGTGCCGATGAAGATGGTGGTAGTGGTGGTGGTGATGGTGGTGATGGTAGCGTGGTGGTGATTGTGGTAGTGATGGCGGTGGTAGCGTGGAGGTGTGACGATGAAGATGGTGATAGGAAGGACATGGATGGTAGTTGGCAGTCTATAACAGGTAGTAACACTATCGACTTCAACAAAAAACAGCATTAACAACAACAGTAGTCACAGCATCACCAGACACAGCAGTAACAGCACCACGGTGTCGTTCCAGGAGAGAGCAACTTCACTGTCAACAAGTTAGTCGTCCCAACACACACACACGCACACGCACACGCACACACACACACACACACACACACACACACACACACACACACACACACACACACACACACACACACACACACACACACACACACACACACACACACACACACACACACACACACACACACACACACACACACACACACACACACACACACACACACACACACACACACACACACACACACACACACACACACACACACACACACACACACACACACACACACACACACACACACACACACACACACACACACACACACACACACACACACACACACACACACACACACACACACACACACACACACACACACACACACACACACACACACACACACACACACACACACACACACACACACACACACACACACACACACACACACACACACACACACACACACACACACACACACACACACCTCTACCTCTCCTGGCCATCTGGGGAAATAAAGATCTATACTATCTGTGTCTCGGACTCTGTTATGGCGCGGGAAGACACCTAAACACCTCTAGCGCCATCATCATCAATTATTTAACTTACAATAAAGATTCATCATTATACCACCATCATTATCTTTCTTTCTTACTGTTTCCTGAAAAACTATAATGACAACAAAAGCAAATTAAAAGTTGAGAAAAAGTTTGTTGTTACTTTTCATTGATAAAAAGTATCATCTGAAAACAACCAATTCTGTCCTATTAAGTCCAGGTTATATTGCTGGGATATAAACCCGTATAGACACTGTACATAAAGGTGGAAATAGATGATGGGTGGGAAGGTAAGGAGGGTATAGCCTTGTCATGCTCCCTGTATTAACTCTATAATTGTAATCGCTGCCAATCACAAGTTAATTCGTCCCTCTAATCACGACCGGCACACACCACCCACTGTCTCCCTCATCACCTGCCACCACCACTACCACCCACACTAGTAGCTGCCGCCCACATCACCTACTGCCGCCCACCACCATTATCCACAACCATTACCAAAAAACTACCACCCATATCACCCGCCATCCACAACCCACATCTCAACACCACTACCGCCCACACCACCCGCCGCCCAGGGCCAGCACGAGGTCGGAAACACAAAGGAAGGAAATTGTGTCATCAGGGGAGAATAATGACTCCCAGCCCTGATTTTACTGACGGCCAACGTGAAGCACAGTGTGGAGAGTGTGGGGGGGAGGAGGGGAGTGGGGGAGAGTGTGGGGGTGTGGGAGTGTGTGCGGGGAGTGTGTAGATGTGGGGAGAGAGTGTGTGGGGGGAGTGTGTAGATGTGGGGGGAAAGCGCAGGGGTGGGGGAAAGCGTGGGGGTGTGGGCTGTGTGGGAGAGGGCATAGTATTGTGGGGACGTGAGGCGGGAATCATTAGACACCATAACAAAATATTCCCTCGGACGTCAAGGTAAAGAGTTAATTTTCATAACATTGCAGGTTAACAGCTCCAGGCAGGTAGGATCAATGTTTGTTCTCTCACCTGTTTCTACTGATGAGCTGCCAGCCTGAGTGAGTCTTTCTTTACACGTTATATAGAGTAAGAAAGGATGAATCCACAAAAAAAAAGCTAAAGTTTATATACAGGAGAATTCGACCCGGTGTTCTCAGAGGGAATACCGGGTTCACCATCTCATTTCAGCCACGAACGCTGCCAGTGATAGCGATAACATGTATACGTAGGCGATATTTATCTCCCTCATCAGCAGTAAACTCCATGAAGGGAAATTATCGCCGTCGACCACCCAACACACATCAACACCGGGATACTAAATATTCCTCCGTTCATTTCCCGGCAGCAGGAGATGGGAAACGCTTGTCATGACGCCACATTTGCAGTCTAAGAGGGATTTCGCCGCCATTTTAACTACATTTAAGCTTCCCGCCACACAGTCCGTCAGTTAGATGCGCCTCTCAGTTTCCTGTGACGGGAAGGAAATTAATGTAAGATTCTTTAATAATAATGTTATGTTTAGTGTCATACATGGCTGCCACGTGGTCAGGTTTGTTTGTGTTGTTCCGTATGGCAGACAACCTCCCTTTAGTACAGGAGGAGGAGCAGGAGGAGGATGGAGAAGAGGAAGAGGAAGAAGAGGAAGAGGAGGAGGAGCAGGAGGAGGATGGAGAAGAGGAAGAGAAAGAGAAAGAAGAGGAAGAGGAGGAGGAGGAGGAAAGACTAGCCAATGGGAAGCCAGGAGCCCAGGACGAGTAGTGGAGAGAGATTGCAGCCAATGAGAGACCAGAACGAGTAGTGAAAAGGGTCTTCCAGCCAATGAGTGACCAGGTATAGTAATAGCCACACACTACAGCCAATGGGAGACCAGAATCACCTCACAATTACACTATACAACATTACTGAACAAATTTATTCAAGAAAAAAACAATATTATTCTCTACCTACAGTTTCCTCCTAATTTATTTTTTCTTAAACCTTTCACCGACAGACACGTAATGGTGAGGCTTAAAGAACGCACCTGAATGACAGACCGACTTCCTGTAATTACCGCGTCATCGTCCGACAGTCCGAGACGATTTTAAAACCCATCCTGAACCTGCATACCTGTGTTCTTTACCTGTGTTGCAGAGTCTGACACAACCTTTCCGAGTCTAATTCATTTGTGACACAGCGGAATTACACACACACACACACACACACACACACACACACACACACACACACGAAGCTTCAAAACCTCTTTACACTATTCGGGTTCGTTTAAATCTTTCATTTTTCTTCCCTTTCTCAGACTAATTGAGCAGCCAGACCCAGAGTGAGGGGGGGAGGGGGTAGAAATGGGTCAGGAGGATGCGAAAGTGGGGAATGGGTATGGTTAAAGGGAATGGTGGTGGAGAAATGGGTAAGGGGAATGTGGAAGTGGGTAAGGAGGGTGGGAGAGTGGGTATAAGTAAGGAGATAGGTAAATAAAAGTTTCTAGGGGAGACTATTCTATTTCATCAAGGCGTGGAGATATGTCGCAACCCCGGCAGACCTGGTGACGGAAGGAAGGAAGGAAGGAAGGAAGGAAGGAAGGAAAGAAGGACGGAGGTGTCTGCCTCATTCATCTGTCGCTCCACTCAATCTAACTTCCATTGGAGCCTCGATGGAAGAAGTAAGTGGCGGAAAAAGAGGGAAGGAACGTCGGCGTGTGTGTGTGTGTGTGTGTGTGTGTGTGTGTGTGTATCCGTCCGTTGCCTTAATATTAAACAGTAACTGAATATTACAACACAATGTAACATTCCAGCCTTCACTAACATAACATCGTCCATCGCGCTACATAACCTTTTAAAGTCTTCCTTGAAAAGATTTAATTAACTTCAACTTCGTTCTTTCTCCGTCTCATGGCGACAAACTTCCGACAAATACTATTACAGTAGGTACCCGCCCCTCCTCCACCTGGCCATCTCGACATACATT